GGGTAACCGGAACCACACATATTTTTTTATTTGGCCTTATCATTGGTAAAAGTGTACACTTCGCTTACTATAATAGAAAATTATCGTCCGTAATACTTTTTTCACACCTTTTCACTCTTGGGACAATCAACAAAACAAAAGATAACACCTATCTACACCTGTGGTTCATGCACTGTCCCTTGTCTATACACAACGGCTTGATTGGGGAGATTAGTCACACTTCAGTGCACTTACCTGAGTGATTGATACGAAGTTTGTTTATTTTACAAAGTAGATTACATAACAACACAAAACCATTCTTAATCTTATTTTCTTCTTTTGTTAAAATCCTGAATTGTACATTGATAATAAATGTGTTGAAACTAAATTTTGTGTCAATTAACCCAGTGACCTATGTACTAACGTTAGTATATATTGGTCCCTGATTAACCCAAGTTTTCTTACGCTTGTTGCCTGATCAATGTTCATAATTAATTACATTTATAAAACTGCCCCATTAATTAAGAAGTGATTTTTTATGTCTACTTTAGTTGAATAAAAGAAATGAATAAAAAAAATGAAATATTGGTAGTTTGAATTGATCATATATTTAAAAATGAAAGTAGATCAAAATGAAAATAAACAAGATGGATGCCAAGAGATCTAGAAGACAGGTCGAAGTTCTTTTAGTTCTAAAGAGATTGAAGAGTATTAAGCTTTATTTGAGTGAATTTATTTATTACAAAAAGTTAAAACAGTAAGTAAATATTGAGAAATGATTTTCAAAAAAACTACAAAAAATTGAAATTACATGTAACATAACATGTATAATATAAATACATCCAATAATTTATACAAACGTCATTTCATGTCAGACGTCTGACATGAATTTCAGCCAACTATGGTTATTATAAAAGTCGCTTATTATAAAGTTTTGGCCTGACAAATAAACTATGATAATAAACGAATTGTACTGTACTAAATGCTCCATAGCACCAGAAGAAGCGCACACCCTCATTTTTTGTTTTGATTTTTAATTGAGCTATTTGTGTAGATTCTAAAAATATACATGATAAAAAATTCTAATTACTTTTGATTGCAGGATCCAACCTCCTTAAGCATTGCATGCAAATACAGGTGCATGCACGTGCATGATGACCATATCATCTTGTCTACACTTTTAATATGTTTCTATATTCTGAGTTTGAAAGCATTTCATCAGAAAGTATAAAAGTTGCAGGTATATCAGGTACAGGTAATTTCAGTATCTCGAACACTGATACGTCAAATACCAAGGATATCTTGAAGTGAATCAATGGTCCCAGCTGTTTTTACTATATTTATGATTTTAAAAAAAAACCCGGTATCTTGAACACGGAAATCTCAAATACCTCATTTATCTCGAAGTAGATTTACGGTCTCGTGTGCTATAAATACATGCGTTATCTCGAAGTCCAATTAATTTCTCGCTCCGCTGAATTCACACCTTAGGCCAACATTTTTTTAATACAAGAGGCCCATGGGCCACATCGCTCACCTGAGCACATTGGCTAGGCAAAAGCACAAATCAGTTCAGTATTGAAAAGATTATGGGGGAGGGGAGGGGGGGCTTGGGCTTGAATTTTAAACTACCTGATGATACTTCCATGTCAGTATAACAAATGGCTTTGTAATGGCTTTGTTGTACTTGAGAAGAACTTGAAAGTTTTCCCATATATTCCTTTGTAAAAATTTGATCCCCCTCCTGTGACTCCTCCCTATCCCAGAGGTCATCATTTTAACAAACTTGAATCTACACTACCTGAGGATGCTTCCACATCAATATGACTAAACATAGCTTTGCAGTTCTTCAGAAGAAATATTTTTCCTATATGTTCTAATGTAAAAATTTTTAATCCCCCATTGGGCTCCACCCTCACCCGGGGGTCATCATTTGAACAAAATTGAATTTACACTATCTGAGGATGCTTCCATATCAAAATGACTAAACATAATTTTCAGTTCTTGAGAAGAAGATATTTTCATATATGTTCCTATGTAAAATTTTCGATCCCCCATTGTGGCCCATCCCTATCCCCAAGGGTCTTCATTTAAAAAACTTGAATCTACACTACCTGAGGATGCTTCCATATCAGAATGACTAATCATGGCTTTGCTGTTCTTCATCAGAATATATTTTCCTATATATTTCTATTTAAGACTTTGATCCTCCATTGTGGCCCCACCCTACCCCAGGGGGTCATGATTTGAATAAATTTGAATCTACAATACCTGAGGATGCTTCCATATCAATATGACCAATCAGGGCTTTGCTGTTCTTAAGAAGAAGATTTTTAAAGATTTTTCCTATATATTCCTATGTAAAACTTTGATCCTCCATTGTGGCCCCACCCTACCCCCAGGGGTCATGATTTGAAAAAAACTTGAATCTACACTACCTGAGGATGCTTCCACATAAATATGACCAATCAGGGCTTTGCTGTTCTTGAGAAGAAGATTTTTAAAGATTTTTCCTATATATTTCTTTGTAAAAATTTGATCCTCCATTGTGGCCCCGCCCTACCCCCGGGGGTCATGATTTGAACAAACTTGAATCTACACTACCTGAGGATGCTTCCACATGAGTTTCATCTTCCCTGGCTCTGTGGTTCTTGAGAAGAAGATTTTTAAAAGATGCCATTAATTTTTCACTAATTCTTTATTATCTCCCCTTGAAAGAGGGCATGGCCCTTTATTTGAACAAACTTGAATCCCCTTCACCCAAGGATACTTTGTGGCAAGTTTGGTTGAAATTGGCCCAGTGGTTCTTGAGAAGAAGTCGAAAATGTGAAAAGTTTACAGACGGACGGACAGACAGACGGACAGACAGACGGACTACAGACAAAATGAGCCTTCAGCTCAGGTGAGCTAAAAATGAAAAAGGGGAGCGCCGACTGCAATTTTAGCTAAAACCAAATAAATATAAAAGTCCCTTGATTTTATTTTTTAATTTCCCGCTGATCGTTAATGCAAGTGCACTAAGATAATAAAACAAGAGGCCCAAGGGCCACAACGCTCACCTGAGTCAATATGGCCCTGCTGTTCTTCGTCAGCAGATTTCTTCTCCTATATTTCTCCTATATATTCATATATAAAGCTTTGATCACCTGTTCTAGGCATAACCTACCCCAAAGTGCCATGTTTTGAATGAAACTGAATATAAACCTTCTGAGGATGCTTCTATCTTCATATAACTAATCATGATTTTGCTGTTCTTTAAAACAGAATTTTAAATATGCCTAACACCCTACCCTGGGGGGGGGGGGGGGGGGGGGGTCATGATTTGAACAAAGTTGAATGTACACTACCTGAGGATGCTTCCATATCAATATGACTGATCATGGCTTTGTTGTTCTTGAGAATGAAGAAGATTTTTAAAGATATTTCCTGTATGTGTTCTTTTGTAAAGCTTTGATCCCCCATTTTGGCCCCACCCTACTACTGGAGGATGCCTTAAACAAGCTTGAATCTACAATATTTGGGGATGATTCATATCAATATGACTAATTGTGGCTTTGTTGTTCTTGAGAAGAGGATTTTTAAAGAATTTTCCTATATATTCCTATGTAAACAAGAGGCCCATGGGCCACAGCGCTCACCTGAGTAACTTTGGCCTTGCTGTTTTTCACCTGATCCCCCCCCCCCCCGAAGTTCTTATTGTGGCCCCGCCCTACCCCAAGGGGTCATGATTTGAACAATTTAGAATCTACACTACCCAGGGATTTATCAGTTTCTTCTCAGGGGCCGAAATTCGGCCCCATTCCCAATTGAAAATGAGCTCAGTTTTTCCCAATTTGGTTGTATTTTTTCCCAATTGGTGAACAATGCTTTTATATTTAATTTCCTTGGAAAAACACTGAGTAAAATTGTCAGATTGTCTGTAATTTTCATCTATTTAACTCATTTAGCAAAGCTACAGTGATAACACATGTTTAACAACACTGTAAAAACATCGCCAACTTTTAATCCGAATTTCCTCCGTTTTTCTGAAAATGGTGATATTGTGTAATTGTATAGATTTATTAAGTTATTTCCACCTACTCAAATGATCTACGAATGAATGGTAAGGACTGTAGGCATTATTTCAGATAGAAAAAAATTATTTTCAATGTTTTAATACATATTAAAAGAGGATTTTGGAAATGTGTACTTTAGTATATATAATTTTTTGCAGGAGGTTTATATTTTCCAGAAACAGATTCTATAATAACCTAACTTGAAATCTCATACACACATGTACTACCCTAAGTTGTATAAATACTTTATACTCATTGGAGTAAATTTTACTTTTATTAGTCTATTATTCATAATTCATCTTGTATGATGAAGTTGAATCATATTTAATTGTCTGTTTGGTTGCCCAAATTAGAGTTCATGCTGATCAGAAATGTTTAACTTAAATGAATTACACTTGAATACATGATTTAAGCAACATTTTTTATTTTTCCCAATTTCGTCAAATAGCCGATAAATTTTTCCCAATTCCCCAAAAATGGCATTTCCCAAAATAGGCTGATAAATCCCTGCTACCCCAGGATGCTTCCTCATAAGTTTCAGCTTTTCTGGCCCAGTGGTTCTTGAGAAGAAGATTTTTAAAGATTTTTCCTATATATTTCAATGTAAAACTTGGATTCCCTATTGTGGCCCTGCCCTACCCCTGGGGGTCATGACTTGAACAATTTAGAATCTACACTACCCCAGGATGCTTCCACATAAGTTTCAGCTTTTCTGGCCCAGTGGTTCTTGAGAAGAAGATTTTTAAAGATTTTTCCTATATATTTCTATGTAAAACATTGATTCCACATTGTGGCCCCGCCCTACCCCCGGGGGTCATGATTTGAACAATTTAGAATCTACACTACCCCAGGATGTAGCTTTACTGGCCCTGTGGTTCTTGAGAAGAAGATTTTTTAATGACCCCACCCTATTTTTGTCTTCTCTTGATTATCTCCCCTTGTGAGGGGACTTGGCCCTTCATTTTAACAATTTAAATTCCCCTTCACCCAAGGATGCTTTGTATCAAGTTTGGTCAAAATTGGCCCAGTGGTTCTTGAGAAGAAGTCAAAAATGTGAAAAGTTTACAGACGGACGGACGGACGACGGACAAAATGTGATCAGAAAAGCTCACTTGAGCCTTCGGCTCAGGTGAGCTAAAAATTGATCCCCCATTATAGCCCCACACTACCCCCAGGGGTCATGATTTGAACAACCTTGAATCTACACTATGTAATGAAGGTTTCACATAAGTATAAACTTTTCTGGCTCAATGGTTCTTGAGAAGAAGATTTTTAAAAGATGACACCAAATTTTCACCAATTCTTAATTATCTCCCCTTGGAAGAGAGCGTGGCCCTTCATTTGAACAAACTTGAACCCCCTTCACCCAAGGATGCTTTGTGGCAAGTTTGGTTGAAATTGGCCCAGTGGTTCTGGAGAAGAAGTCGAAAATGTGAAAAGTTTACAGACGGACAGACAGACAGACGGACTACAGACAAAATGTGATCAGAAAAGCTCACTTGAGCTTTCAGCTCAGGTGAGCTAATAATGTGCAAATAAGTCGGCAATTTGATTGGCTGCTTCATTGAAAGCCATTATTTTCATCCAATCAATTTACGTTTGTTATCAATTGTTTAAGAAGTGTATAAAATGTGCCAACATGGATGCAGAAATGTCGAATTTTACAAAAGTTGAGAATACTTTGTCCTTATACACAATAGTTTTCTGAAGTCAACCATAGATTACTGTAATAAGAATTTAAATTTATCGAAAATGCACACTTATACACATTATTACATACAGTCCCTGAAACGTTCTACTTTCCCATTTTTCCGTTCGCTCACCGTTCGTTCACCGTTCGTTCAGCGTGCGTTCACCGTTCGTTCAGCGTGCGTTCACCGTTCGCTCTCCGTTCACAGTTTTGCGTTCAGCGTTCACCGTGCGCTCGCATTCACCGTTCACAAAGCGTTTACCGTTCGCTCTTCGTTCGCTCACTTTGCGTTCACCTTGCGTTCAGCGTTCACTTATCGTTCAGTCTTCAGTGTCATTCGGAACTCCGAAGTGAAAGGACTTATCTTTTTTTAAGTAAGGATTTACAGGTTTTGAATTTAATAAATAACATACAGTGTTTAAAGAATCATTATTTCATGGGAAAAAAATTATCTACAATATTTATTTTTATTATTGTAACTTATCTGTTAGGTTATTTATAAAATTTATGTGGAAAATCAATGTTGTTATAAGTACATGTACATGTATGTACCGATGTAGAACGATGCTGAAAAATTAAATCTAAATACGGTCAAAATACTGATACTTCAAGTACTGCAACATTTTGCTTTTATGTTAAAGACGACAAATCGTAAATGGATAGATAGTAATCGAAGTCAATTAATTTACCACCTGCAACAAAAATACGAAAATATTTATTTCTATCACATTTTTTTCAAATAATACAGAAATACATGTTAGAACTTGTTCTGAGAATGATAAACAGTACTGCGGATATCCAGTTAATTAAATATCTTTAGAGCGAATTAAATTGATAGTGTGGTTAAAAAAAAATATTTGTTTAAAATGTAATACACTAAAGAATTTTTTTCTACTTTACATATATAAAGTCTTTAATTAGAGAGAGAGAAATGCCTTTATAACATGATTATCATTTATATAACCAAGGTGATTCTCCGGTAATGATATTTTTCACCGTAACTTTATGTTTGTCATTCGATATTAATAAGAGCCCCCCCCCCTTTTCCCCTAAATCGGTTACTTAGTTAGTATTTCCAGTACATTTTAGTTAACATTTGAAAAGAAGTTAATGTGTTTTGTAGCACAAAAATTTCAGTCTCAAAACAAACATGCATCTAAACAAATTCATTAAACAATAGTAGTTCAAAATATACATGTGCCGGCGGTGATACATGTATTTTAAATTGGCAGGGAGTATGTTTCAAATTCAAGCGGCTTAATCATTCCAAGTGTTTCTTCCCAATGTATTTTATTTATTTATTGATTTTATTTTATTTTTTTTTTTAGAAATGTTGGAATCAGATCTAGAAATGATAAGAAAAAATGTTAAAACTTCTTGGAAATACTAACACTTTGCCTTCGGTGTGACGAGACTTTCACACCTGCACAGCGTCGAATGATTTTGATTGACAGGTCAAGCACGTGGACTTTGTGTGAACTTGAAGCAGGAAAATAAAAACCGATTATGACTGTAAAACAAATGGATTTGTTGATAAAAAAAATGGATACTTTCACTGCCTGATATAATTAGAAAAGAATTAGAATTTTTGTTTGATATAGGTGCAAACATTTTAGGAGGGGGGGGGCTAAAACCGAATCTCTCTCTCTCTCTCTCTCTCTCTCTCTCATTTGTCTGTTTAATAAAAACTATGCCAACATATTACTTAAATATCAAGTTGTGAAAATTTAATATATAACAAATAATATGATTGCCTCTTTGTATCATCTTGTCCGAGTATAATCACGGCCGGGAAATGTCTACAGATACATGTAGAAGTCCGCTCAATAAATCATCATAAAAAAATAAAACTGACACATAAATATATTATTGCATTAAGATTTTAAAATACGAGTGTATTTATGCAATAGGTCCACATACCTTTGTAAATTTTTTTTTCTCATTATTTTACACGGAATCCCTTGTATGGCTGTTACAGCCGTTGTAATTCATTCTATAAGTCCGTAGTTTTCTCTTCTAAAATCCACATTATTTGCAATGGTTTTATATATCAAATAAAAATAAACATATTTATTTTACAACTAGATTAATTTCATCTGTTATACTACAGCGTTCGTTAACAATTACAATGTTTTACAGCGATAAAAATCGTGTTATTAAAAAGTTGAATTTAAACATCGAACATACGTGCAGAAAATATTGCAAGAAACTTAAATTAATAATTTTACTTAATGTGCATGCATCGTCTTTCTTAGGACAATTTTCATTGATTTGTTTATTTATTTATCATTTATTTATTTTTTTTTAGCACCAAGCATTTGAACACAATAGAATAGTTTCAATGCAAGGAAAAGATCAGAGGCATTCCGAATAAATCGTTCATCTTGCGTTCACCGTTCACTCTGCGCTCGCGTTTGCGCTCCGTTTGCGTTCTGCGTTCGCTCACCGTTCACACATCGTTCACCAAGTTGCGTTCAGCGTTCACACATCGTTCACTCACCGTTCGCTCTGCGTTTGTTCAGCGTTCGTTCACCGTTTGTTCAGCGTTCGCTCACCGTTCAAGTGGGAAAGTAGAACGTTTCAGGGACTGTATCAAAGTAAACACTGAACACATCAAAGTGATATTGAAATCAAGAATTTAACAATTAAAGACATTATTTTGAGTATAAAAGTCAGTACCAAAAAATCTTCATTACACACCATGTCTGATAAGCAATCTAACGAAGGACTCGGTAGCCCACCAGGGAGGATAGTTATATTATCTGACAGTGGTGTAAAAAGAGAACAAAGTTCATACAATTGAAACAAAGTTTCAGACTATTACAGAAGTCGAAAAAGGTACAGAATTATAAACACGCTTTTATCTGTTGATAAATATTATAAATTATAGTGCTTTGTTTATGCTTATTGGCAATTTTAATAAATTATTGTAGAACGATAATTCCTGTTTCCATCTTAATCCTTATTACAGTGATCAGTTTATCATTTACACATATTCGGGTATCAGAAATCCTGAAACAAGCATGAATATCGCTATGAAAGCGATCGAAATTTGTAAAATGTAAATATTGCAGTATTAAATAAAATAATATATGCATTATAAGTGTATATGCAAATGTATTTTTAAAAAGATAATTACTAAGTATGAACTGAAACCTTTACCGCTTAAATTATGCACGTGGGGGGAGGGGGGGGGGGGGGTAATTCCCTGTTAATAGAACATGAAACATTGCAATATTGGTACCAAATTCATCAACTTCGATATCTTGAACACTCGGATATCTCGAAGTTTTTCCTCAGTCCCGCCAAGTTCGAGATATCGAAATTTATCGGTATATTGTTCCTTTCACGCATTGCACATGCATGGATGTTCAAGATGACCATATCATCTTCTCTACACTTTAATTATATTTCAATATATTCTGAGTATGAAAGCATTTCATCAAAAAGTATATTAAAAATTAAAAGTTATGGCTATATCATTTACAGCTAAACTTCGAAATCTCGAACACGGATATCTCGAATACCCCGGATATGTCGAAGTAAGACCGCGGTCCCGACGAAATTTGCTTTATAAATGATTAAAATAAACCCCTCTATGTCGAACACGGTAATGTCGAATACCCCGGTTATCTCGAAGTAAAATTGTGTATCCATTCATTCAAATCACATGCGTTATCTCGAAGTCAGGATAATTTTCCGCTCTGATGATCAAATCTGTTAGGTAAACTGACCGCTCTATTGATAACAGCCACCTGTCTGTCACGTACAGGTTACCTGTATTCCTGTGATCAACAGATAATAGCGCGATAATTATACGAGGTGTATGTATGGCTTACCTTGATTTTAATTATTCAAGCTAAAGGTTGTGTGTATTAGTCTTACGCATACGCGTGGATGACACGTTAATTGTTTTGTGGCCGAGGTACGTTTATCTTGGTAATCGCTATTTAATGCTATGTGTAATATGCGCGCTTGCATAGTTTATGCATATGAAAGCGAAAATTATAAAGATTAAAGTGAAAAAAAATTCTGTAATTTAATGCAATTAGAATTTATTTTTCGTATATGGGCATGCAGAATTTACAATCGTCAGTACACGCCATCATGTGAGCTTGTGTCGCAGTGAAAACCTGTGCTATAGTGAACTGTGATTCAGTGTCGTTCTGTAGTTAGACGAAAGAGCGTGTTTCTTCTTTTGCATTTGATTTTATTATGGTAAAATATTTTCTTTTAACTGATTATACATGTATGAACAAGTTTTTCCAATAAAAAAAATTGTATATTTCGTTTCCGTTATTCTGACAGCGACCGGTTTTAAATTTACAATGCATAGACGATAACCGGTTATGTATACATGGGAAACGATG